ATAAGGTTTTTGATGAGGTAGCATCTCAAGTGTATTAGGAAGAATGATGTACTCTTTTTCCTTCACTAGATTTTTATCCCACGGGGTTTTTCCTAGTAAGGTTTAAACGAGGCACAATCTTCAATATGAACATCCAAGGAAATATTTATGCGCATTAGCATCATATATTAGAAGATTATGGACATCTAAGGGGGAGTGTTGTAAAATATATATTTATGTATGTCCATTATACCTTTGTAACCACCTTAACATAATTAGGACTTTTTACCAAATTGAGCTTTTTTGGCAAAGTATTTACCAAATTGGTCTCGTGGCAAAAGTATTTCCCAAACTAAGCTTTTAGGGTAAAACGCTGTCTCGGACAGCGTTTTACACCCAGTTTTTTTTTTTAAAAAAAAAATTCAAGACATAAAACTCTGTCTTAGACAGCGTTTTATGGTTAATTGACTTTTTTGTATGTATTTTGCTAAAATATATTGGAATACATGTATTTTGTGTATGTAAAAAGTAAAACGCTGGCGTTTAAGTAAAAAATGCATCACTTATATTCTTATACCTAGAAGCACAAATAGCTTCCTATGAAAGGAAAGCTAAAATACTTTCAACAAGCAGTACTACAATGATATACTCATGAATATTTCGAAGGATCAGAGCAAGAAAAAATAGCTTAATTAGAACAATAGTTACAACCCTACTACACCAGTAGTAAAATAGCTTGCATGAGTTCTATCTCACTTTGGGAAATAAAAAATTGACATTAAATCTACTCATCTAGTTTATATTGTGTTCTTACACCAATGTATGATGAGAATTTGTCATACTAGCCAATGCGCTCAAGAATTTAACAAATATCACAAGCATTTTTGGTGGATTAGTTCTAAGAAGGTTTTAAGTTTTTCATACTACATAACATTGACAATCATAGTGAAACAGAGTAAACTAACAAATTATCATAGGGGCCAAGCTAATTAACATAGTAACATCAAAATACAAACACACCAACTAAATTAATCACAACAAAATTATTCAATAAAACCGCACATAAATCACACAAAAAAAATGGTAAAATGACGCAAAAAAATAAGAGTCAAACAATAATAATCAAGAGTAGCACTGAAATTACGTAATATCGCTGAAATTCGAACACTGAAATCACTGGAATTCGAACATTAAAATCGTTGAAATTCGAACCTTAAATCCGGTTGAAAATTCTAGCCCTCAAATCGCTGAAGTTTGAACCCTAAAATCGCTGAAAAATATTGAAAATCAAATCAAAAAATCAAAATCGACTTGAACTCATTCGAAATCAAAATCCCAAAAACATGTTTCAAAATCGATATTAAATTGAAATTTACATACCTTAACAGATTATCACAAAAAATTGATGAGCAAAAGCAAATAAATTGAAGAGCAAAGAAATGGAAGAGCGTAGAAATGGAAGAGTGTAGAATAACATGGAGGAAGAGAAAGAAAATCTAAAGAGGAGAGAGAAAATCTCAGCGGTTGGATTTGATCTAATCTAGCGGCTGAGATTTGTCCTCACATAAGGTGTGAGTTCTCAAATAAAGGGTGGTTCGCATCGGATCTCGACCCTATATATATATATATATGACCTCTAGAAGAAGGTACAAGTAAGTCAAATATATATAAATGAATAAGAACCGTAATATTTTATATGAAGATATATGTTATTATAAAGATATATTTATTTGGAATTTTGGCAAAAACATTGGTACATAAGAAAGAGATATATTCATCATTACATTCGATGTGTATTATTCTCATAAGTCAGATGACAAAGAAGATGATTTAACAATTCAAGTGAAGAAATGAAGACTCAAGTAAAATTTGAAAAATTAATTATCAATGAAGATTTTGCTGCTACACAGTGAAGTTCCTTGTGTTAGTCTTCGACTCATTGCATTGACGATCTTAGGTGATGTAAAAGTTAGGGGGAGAAAATACGCGCTACACTCTTTTTCCCTTAACCATGATTTTGTCCCACTGGATTTTCCTGATAAGGTTTTTGATGAGGTAGCATCTCAAGTGTATTAGGAAGAATGATGTACTCTTTTTCCTTCACTAGATATTTATCCCACGGGGTTTTTCCTAGTAAGGTTTAAACGAGGCACAATCTTCAATATGAACATCCAAGGAAATATTTATGCGCATTAGCATCATATATTAGAAGATTATGGACATCTAAGGGGGAGTGTTGTAAAATATATATTTATGTATGTCCATTATACCTTTGTAACCACCTTAACATAATTAGGACTTTTTACCAAATTGAGCTTTTTTGGCAAAGTATTTACCAAATTGGTCTCGTGGCAAAAGTATTTCCCAAACTAAGCTTTTAGGGTAAAACGCTGTCTCGGACAGCGTTTTACACCCAGTTTTTTTTTTTTAAAAAAAATTCAAGACATAAAACTCTGTCTTAGACAGCGTTTTATGGTTAATTGACTTTTTTGTATGTATTTTGCTAAAATATATTGGAATACATGTATTTTGTGTATGTAAAAAGTAAAACGCTGGCGTTTAAGTAAAAAATGCATCACTTATATTCTTATACCTAGAAGCACAAATAGCTTCCTATGAAAGGAAAGCTAAAATACTTTCAACAAGCAGTACTACAATGATATACTCATGAATATTTCGAAGGATCAGAGCAAGAAAAAATAGCTTAATTAGAACAATAGTTACAACCCTACTACACCAGTAGTAAAATAGCTTGCATGAGTTCTATCTCACTTTGGGAAATAAAAAATTGACATTAAATCTACTCATCTAGTTTATATTGTGTTCTTACACCAATGTATGATGAGAATTTGTCATACTAGCCAATGCGCTCAAGAATTTAACAAATATCACAAGCATTTTTGGTGGATTAGTTCTAAGAAGGTTTTAAGTTTTTCATACTACATAACATTGACAATCATAGTGAAACAGAGTAAACTAACAAATTATCATAGGGGCCAAGCTAATTAACATAGTAACATCAAAATACAAACACACCAACTAAATTAATCACAACAAAATTATTCAATAAAACCGCACATAAATCACACAAAAAAAATGGTAAAATGACGCAAAAAAATAAGAGTCAAACAATAATAATCAAGAGTAGCACTGAAATTACGTAATATCGCTGAAATTCGAACACTGAAATCACTGGAATTCGAACATTAAAATCGTTGAAATTCGAACCTTAAATCCGGTTGAAAATTCTAGCCCTCAAATCGCTGAAGTTTGAACCCTAAAATCGCTGGAAAAATATTGAAAATCAAATCAAAAAATCAAAATCGACTTGAACTCATTCGAAATCAAAATCCCAAAAACATGTTTCAAAATCGATATTAAATTGAAATTTACATACCTTAACAGATTATCACAAAAAATTGATGAGCAAAAGCAAATAAATTGAAGAGCAAAGAAATGGAAGAGCGTAGAAATGGAAGAGTGTAGAATAACATGGAGGAAGAGAAAGAAAATCTAAAGAGGAGAGAGAAAATCTCAGCGGTTGGATTTGATCTAATCTAGCGGCTGAGATTTGTCCTCACATAAGGTGTGAGTTCTCAAATAAAGGGTGGTTCGCACCGGATCTCGACCCTATATATATATATATGACCTCTAGAAGAAGGTACAAGTAAGTCAAATATATATAAATGAATAAGAACCGTAATATTTTATATGAAGATATGTGTTATTATAAAGATATATTTATTTGGAATTTTGGCAAAAACATTGGTACATAAGAAAGAGATATATTCATCATTACATTCGATGTGTATTATTCTCATAAGTCAGATGACAAAGAAGATGATTTAACAATTCAAGTGAAGAAATGAAGACTCAAGTAAAATTTGAAAAATTAATTATCAATGAAGATTTTGCTGCTACACAGTGAAGTTCCTTGTGTTAGTCTTCGACTCATTGCATTGACGATCTTAGGTGATGTAAAAGTTAGGGGGAGAAAATACGCGCTACACTCTTTTTCCCTTAACCATGATTTTGTCCCACTGGATTTTCCTGATAAGGTTTTTGATGAGGTAGCATCTCAAGTGTATTAGGAAGAATGATGTACTCTTTTTCCTTCACTAGATTTTTATCCCACGGGGTTTTTCCTAGTAAGGTTTAAACGAGGCACAATCTTCAATATGAACATCCAAGGAAATATTTATGCGCATTAGCATCATATATTAGAAGATTATGGACATCTAAGGGGGAGTGTTGTAAAATATATATTTATGTATGTCCATTATACCTTTGTAACCACCTTAACATAATTAGGACTTTTTACCAAATTGAGCTTTTTTGGCAAAGTATTTACCAAATTGGTCTCGTGGCAAAAGTATTTCCCAAACTAAGCTTTTAGGGTAAAACGCTGTCTCGGACAGCGTTTTACACCCAGTTTTTTTTTTTAAAAAAAAATTCAAGACATAAAACTCTGTCTTAGACAGTGTTTTATGGTTAATTGACTTTTTTGTATGTATTTTGCTAAAATATATTGGAATACATGTATTTTGTGTATGTAAAAAGTAAAACGCTGGCGTTTTACTTAAAGAATTAAACGACAAAAGTATTATTCCCAATTAAACGTAGCTGCAATTCGATATAAGTCCCGCAATATTGTACGGAGGCAAACGCTGCCTCAGGCTGCGTTTTATTTTATACAATAAAACACTGCCTGAGGCAACGTTTATTGGGATTTTTTTTATATAAAATATGAAATACGAAGTTTAAGAAAAAAAAATCTGGGTATAAAACGCTGTCCGAGACAACGTTTTACCCCAGAAGCTTAGTTTTGGAAATACTTTTGCCACGAGACCAATTTGGTAAATAATTTGCCAACAAAACTCAATTTGGTTAAAAGTCCACATAATTATTTATCTTGTAACCCTCATTTAACTCTCTTTAGTTTTATCATCTACTTTGTAACTTTTGCATAAATATGACTCTTTATTGCTTTAGGGCGTTACTATACTCATATGTATAAACATTGCCTAATGAAGAAATTGATCCGACAATAATACTCTCTTCAACTTCCTCTTTTGTTCTATGTTTAATAATGTCCTCTATTTCATAACAGTTTTGTTGTTTATTAGGTGTTGTTGGATTTATTAGATTAGGGTTTAGGGGTTTTGTAAAGTAGTTTCATCAATCTCTTTCCTCCTTTGTTGCAGCCTTCACATTCAAAGCTACCATGCCGAAGCATTACAGACCAGCGGTCAGCTTTATCCCTCTACTCTAACCTTATTGTTTCTTCACATTCAGTTTCTTCACATTCTTTCAATGCCTCACATCATTCTCACCATTTTTTCAGGGCAAGAAAAAGGAAGGTAACGCCGCCAAATACGTTACTCGTTCTCAGGCTGTCAAGAGTCTCCAAGTCACTCTCCCTCTTTTTAGGTCTGAATTTCATTCACTTTTTTTATTCAAACTTTTTTTTTTTGAATTTGAGTTTCTGTACCTTAATTATTGTATGCATTGTGTTTTTTTTTTTTTGTTAAAACCCTAAATTTTAATGTTTTTTTTTCGCAATTTATAATATTGGGTTTATCTTCAATTGCTATGAAATTTCTGTTATTGGAGAGCTAGTATGGTATAATTTCCAGAATTTATATTGGTTATAGTTATTAATTGATAATGAGAATGATTGTGGAGGGAATCAGGGAATTGGGAATTTCTCGATTTGTTGGAGGAGTAATTGGTTTTGTAGCTGCATCTGTTACGTTATTAATTTGATTAATGCTTGGTTCTCCAGGAAAATATGCATTTGGAAGGGTATTTTCCCTCGTGATCCGAAGAAGAAAATAAAAGGGAATCATCAGACTTATTATCATACTAAGGATATATCTTTCCTTCATCATGATCCACTTGTGGATATACACCGTGATATTAGGGCGCATGACAAGAAGATTAAAAAGGCTTTATCGAAGAAGAATAAGCCCCGTGCTGTTCGTCTTGAAGAACATAAACCTTCTTACAGTTTAGATAGGCTTATCTTAGAGAGGTATGTATTTGTGTTTATGACCTTGTTTGGTTTATAGTGTTTTCATCGATCTCAATTTCTTGTTCTGTGTGGTGATTAGGTACCCGAGGTTTATTGATGCACTTGGGGATTTGGATGACTGTCTTACTATGATCCACCTGTTTGCTTCTTTGCCAACATTACAAAATGAAAAAGTTGATGTAAAACGTATCCATAATTGCCGTAGGTCAGTAATGGTGATTTATTTTTCTTTGTTTGCTCATAATATTTACCTTCTCACTGCTTAACTTGTCATTGACTCATTGACTTTCATACTCATGTTTTGTCGGCTTTGTTTAGGTTGAGTCACGAATGGCAAGCATACATTTCTCGAACCAACAAGTTACGCAAGACTTTCATTTCAGTGAAAGGCATCTATTATCAGGTACTTAGGCATGTCTTGACAATATCTATTCCCAGTTTTAATCAGGGTATTGAATTTCAGCCACATCACTGCACTGCTACTATAGCGTAAATGTGGAGCTTACCTTAGCTGTGATTTTAGGCTGGAAAAACTTGAAACATCTGCACTGCCCGTAATAGTGGCTCTTTAACTTATATTGCAATTGTGATTGAATCTGAGATTTAATACCTTGGTTGAATAAATCCAACATCGATTCCTTTGATTTTACACCATATTTTAAGTCCTACATAGTTTATATCTGCTAATCATGTTCAAATTAACTTGTATATGTGTTAGGTAGAGGTGGATGGACAAAAAATAACATGGATTGCCCCTCATTCAATTCAACAAGTCGTGACTGATGATGTTGATTTTAATGTCATGCTAACCTTTCTGGAATACTATGAGGTAACGATGCTTCAGTTTCTTTTCTGTCTTTCCTATTTTGGGTTTATGGTTTTTTTTTTAGCTATTTGGACAGAAAATATCTAACTGTGCCAAAAGTAAAAGTGTAATACCTGATTGTACTGCTATTGATTGATTTACTCCATGACTTGCATCAAGTAAACAGTATATCTATAGATTTTGGCAGTTTGTGGACTTTATTGGGATTTGGCATACTAAAAAATATTGCCAGCCTCTCTGTGCTTGTAATCATTATATTTTATTATTATTGCTGCAGACTCTTCTTGCTTTTGTGAACTTCAAACTTTACCACTCCATAGATGTGAAGTACCCACCAATTCTTGATCCTCGATTGGAAGCATTAGCAGCAGGTAACAACCCCTTCCAGCTCTCTCCCCCTCCTCCCCTTTCACTTAATTAGACATTCTCAAGACTAGTAGTGTTAAAATTTCCAAAATTGAGCCAATGTTAAATACGCCTTTGTTGAATCTGCAATGGTATTAAATATTCCATGGCCTGAGATAGTTACATGGAGTCTTAACCTGGGTTAATATGGTATTAAATTTGGATTAAGTAAGTAAATTAGTCCTTTTTTAAGACAAGGATGGAGTAACTTAAATCCATTTTCACATCTATTTAGTGAAACCATGTAAAGTACCAATGTTTGGGCTTTAAGGAGTAGTAAAGCTTTAAGTTTTCTGATTTGCAAGAGCATCCTTTGAAAATTGTAGCTAGTGTTATGGCTTTATAATATTTTTAACTCAACATGTGAAGTTTGTTAGTTTTCATGTGTTCTATTACTTCTATAGCTGTATGTAATATTAAAAAAACCTTAATTTTGAAAAATTAACCATTGGGTATCAAATAATTGATGTATAATCTTGTAATTGCTTCCTACCGTTGGATTTGACTTGAATAAAGCTGAGGGTTCATGCGTTAGTTGTTGTTGTTGAAACATGAATAACCATTCGTAGCTGGTGGTGAAGTTGAGAAAGGCAACAATACCTCTATGATATCTGTTTTTGACTGGGAAGAGAGAGTCCATAAGTCCCTTCATGGAAGTTATATATTAATCAGGGGAGACTATTAATTGTATTGCTTAATTTGGTGTATACTTGGGTTAGATGTTTTTTTTAAAAAAAAAAATAAAAAAAATTGAAACTATATATCAAGGCTTATAGGTTACATTTTTTTTTTAATAATCTCATTTTAAACTTTTCTATTCTACATTAAAAGTAATCCTCTCTTAGCACCTTAGTTATGGGGGACTTTAGTAGAGGAAGTCTTTGAGGAATTGTTTTTCATATGAATCACCATGAGTAGCTGGTGAAGAAGCAGTGAAACTGAGAATAGCTAAAAGCTGGTGATCAACTTCATTTTTCATGTGGTTCACTCAAACAGAGATCACATCCCAATGATGACTTGCTTTCATTTATTGGGAGATTATAAGTGTGGGAAATATGTTGCTGACATGGTAATGCTTGAGTGGGAGATGTGTGTTTCTAGAAAATTTGAAATATTGTAAATTCTGAATACTGCATGGTAGAATACAATTCAGATATGGAACCTTGCCTTGCTCTTGGTAATTATAATTGATCTTCTTGGAAAGTAGTTTTAGGTTTAAATTTTTCATGGGATTATCATTTGCCTTATACAGGGATAATTTTTTGTGATTCGGCATGACCAGGGAATATTGTTTCATTGCTGAGTCTGGTAGAAAGGCTGTGAAATCACTGCTAGATTACAAACTTATTGTTGCAAAATCCACAATCAAATTAACAAATATGATATGGTTCATGAATCTTCAGAATGCTGTTGCAGGGTGCGTCATGTACATAAAGTTTCTTAAAGGCTAATATGTATTTATTTTTATAATCTTTTTTTTAATATTTATTTTCATATCTGCTACAGATCTATATGCACTTTCAAGGTACATTGCCAATAGATCCAAGGAGCAAGGAGGCAATGAATTATCTAGTAAACTAGATGAATCACAGCTAACGCTTGCACAACTTCAACATCAGCTGGTCCCTTGTGAGCCTGGAGTGTTAATGCATCTTGTTGAAGAAACTGAGATTGAGGATGATGCGGATGAAGAAACGAAGGAGTGCAGGTCACTTTTTAAGAACATGAGATTCTTCTTGGGGCGAGAGGTGATATATACAAGATCCATATTAGCAATATTTTTCTAGTCCTAGAATCGATGCAATTGAATATTTGTTTCCTTTCATACATCAAATGTATGCCAAATAACCTGAAGTGGTTACAAGACTTACAACCCTTAGCTAACTAATGATGAATTACTCGGTCACTAATTCTGATTCTGTATTTGCATCCTTGTGTGCTTCTCAGTGTCTGTAGATTGTAGATATAAATTTTTTTATAAAATTTGTGGCCGTGTGTTAGTCCTCCCCCAAGGGGAGGAGGTGATTATTTAAGTGGCCTGGCTTTATTCAGGCGTGGTCTATTTTTATGTTATTACTTGTTTGCTTTGTATGTTTTCTTGTATATATTCTTATTACTACTAATTGCTTGTGGTAAAGTTATTATTATTATTATTATTATTTTTTATTTAATTTAATTTAATTTTTTTTTTCCTGCTCATGTGTTCCAAGTTTTTGCTTTACTTCTCTTTATCTTATGTAATTGCATCAAAGTGGATTCACTTTGCATATGTCTAACTATTTGATTATAGGTTCCCCGGGAGCCGTTGCTTTTTGTGATCTCTGCCTTTGGTGGAATGGTCTCTTGGGAGGGAGATGGAGCTCCATTTGAGGAGTCTGACACAAGCATTACTCATCAGGTAAGCTGGCAAGCCTGATTTCCCATGTTCAGTGTAGTGATATTGGCACATGAAGGGTAGTTGTATCCTATGGTTTACGAATTGTGTTTCTAAATGTAGAATGTTGAATTATATAAGGTTAATGGGACCCAGCTAACGAAAGTTTGAGAATAATAAGAAAAAAAGGAACCTGTGAAATGGGATATAAAGCACGGAATAACAGAAGAGATTCTTTTTGTGTGTTTTTTTTTGGGTCCTCACTTAGTGCCTTTAGTGGTGAAGCAACTCCATTAAATACTCTCCATTTCAGAAGTACTTGATGATTATTGTTTGCTCACAAATTAATGCAATTGGAGAAAGTGTTGATGTAGTGAATGAGTGTAAGATGAAAGTAAATAAAATAAAAGAGTGTAAAAAGGTGGGTGGTTGCAAGTAAAACATGGATATTGTAGGAGCGATTGAGTGAAAAGATGTAAATATTGTGGGTGTAAGAGGGGTAAGATAATAAAACAAGTGTGCCAAAAATGGAATAAAAGGAAAGTGCTTCGAACTTTCTGAAATGGACAATAATAAAGTTTTAAGAACTTTCAGAACTGTGGAATCACATAGTTTATTCAGTATTTCTAGATTGATAGTGATAATAATGGTGAATCTGTTTAAATAATGAAATTTTTTTTAGGCTGGCATCTTGCATCTGTGATTATTGTAAAGTTTTATAAAGGGTCAAGAGTGTATCATGGTGGAAGTTATGGATTGATAGGAGTACTAATTTTGACAGGCAATTATTTGCTGAATAAAGAATGCCATCAAGTTCTTTTCTTTTTTGGTTACTTCTGCAACTCTTGCTTCTCTTTATTAAGTTAAAACTACAAAACTGGTATGCATTTGTTCACTAGACAAGATTGCATTACCATCAGGATAGAAATAATTTTGGTGTAAATACTCAATAATCCTAAAGAACATTTCCATTACCACATATCATGGTCCTTGCTGGTCTATTGATTTTCTTTTAAGTAGGATTGCTGGCATGCTATTTCATCATAGATTGTGTTTTAGGTCGTAGGACTTGCCTAAAATGTACATGGGTTTATGATGATTGTATCTTGTGGTCTCACCTGCCCCCTTCTCTTCTTTTTTCCTTTATTTTGCTGTTTGTACTTTTGAAATGGACTGTACTCTAATAGTATATTTCGTTCCTGTAGATTGTTGATCGTCCGACTCAAAATCATTTGTTTCTGTGTAGAGAATATATTCAGCCTCAATGGGTCTTTGATTCTGTAAACGCTCGTATAATACTGCCTACTGAGGATTATCTGGTGGGAAAGTATGTACTAAAATAGTTTTTAACCCCCCTTTGTGTCTCCGTTTAAAATTACGTTGATCCCAAGAATGCTTTATGGCTGCTATTTATGTGCAATATTTTGACCTGTCTTGTGGATTTCTCACTTATTTTGACTTTGCAATCAACTTGAAAAGGCATGTTTGGTCCTCATTTCAAGGCCTTGAGGGCCTTGGCACATGCTATTCTAAAAAATATGAAAGCATATTTGGATATAATATCTAGGGTTTTTCTACATTATACCCCTCTAGTATTGGATTTTCTAAGCTATACCCAATGTTTTTGAAAGTTACATGTTGTATGCGTTAGGTCCAATAAGTGAACACAATATAACCTTGCCGTCACCTCGTCATTAGGTTCCATCGTTTAGTTTATTATTCATTATCATCTTCCTCTAATTACTCCAATTTGCTGGAAAACATCATCATAAGTTTATCACCTCCTTTCTTCCTCCATCCCTCTTCTCACTCCTATCCCCCTTTTCCATTAAACTCCAACTTCCAAACCACTTCTAGCACAACTAGTAGAGCCACTAACACCCTCTTCCAATATTGCATCCACTGCCGCAACTAGCACCTCGCAACTAGCAGCACCTCAATGGCTATTCTATCGTACGGCTTATCAACTCGACTGTCATAGAATCGTCGCCACTCAACAATTGTTGATATGTACATACAATTCTTATGAATTCTCAATAAAAATCCACTTCCATGAAATAGTATTCTTAATTTATACACACATCAACATCTACATTTCCATTCAGCATTAACCCAATAATCAACTGAAAAAATGACAAAAATCAGCATTCCCTCTTTGTTGGCTATCCACCGCTCAAACGGTGACTTGTCAATTTTTCAAGGAGGGATGAAATCCTCGAGTTTTTTAGGTGGGTTGTGTTTTATTTTTTTTTTGGTGCAAGAAAGGTGAGTTGGGTAGTTGAGGAAAGAGAAAGTGGGGTTTTTAATAGTCAGAGTGGGAGAGGATTATGGTAGTGGGTTTGAGGAAGAGAGAGAAAGGAGGGAGGTGGGTGGTGCTGGTTGCTGCAGTGGGAGTGTAGTGAGGGTGGTTAAGTTTTATTGTATGTTTTTTTTAAATATGAATTATTGCAAAGGATATGGTGTGTTCACTTTTTGCATCTAAAGGGTACTACACGTAACTTTTAAAAACATTGGGTGCTGCTTAGAAAGTGCAATACTGCTGTGGTATAATTTAGAAAAACCCAAATATTCTATAAGGTCAACTTGTAGAGAAAGAAGGGTATAAGGTCAACTTGTGAAAGCTGATGTTGCCTGTAAGACTGTCTTATGTGTTTGTTTATTAGTTGTTAGTGCTAAGCCTCATGATCCAAGGGATAAATAACGTCCATATTTTTTTTATCATGAAAATCTAATCTGCAGTTCAGGTTTATTGGCATGTTACAGCAAGTTAATGTAAGACTGGAAGAAACTTTAGGTTTGCTGTAGATTAATGCAATTTATGTGCAGGGTCCCGCCACCACATCTCTCTCCCTTTGTTGACAACGATGCAGAGGGGTACACCCCTGATTATGCACAGAAAATTAAGCAGCTTCAGGCTGCTGTTAGAAAACAAGTATTGCCAGTACCATCAATTGGGAATGAAGATCAGAATGACACTCAGAATCTATTGTTGGAGGGTGTTGCGGGTCGTGTAGAAGCTAACAAGGCAGCTGAGAGAAAGAAAGAGGTACATTCCTTTTTGAAGTTTGTTTGCTTACAATTGAATTGACTTCCACTTTATCCAATTTCATTGAAAGGTTTTGTGGTTTAGAAGTTTTAACTGTGGATGGCATGCTATTAAAGGCTAGTCTAAGCTAAATTCTCTTTTCCTTCAATCCTTTATCCCATTTATAATGATTAGCCTGCACTTGAGATCTGACTATACTTTATTGGTTGGCTGCAAAATTATACTTCCTCCGTTTTATATTTGCACCATTTTTCTTATAGGGAAGCTGCATATTAATTGCACCAATTCTATAATGGGTATACTTTCATTCACTTTTTGTTTGTGTTCACACACCAAGTACCTATTTCACCCTTACTCACATTTGATATTTACCCTTGTTACCTCACTTTTACGCTCTTCTTTATTTTTAGTCCCATCATTCACATGGGCATTTTGGTTTTTTTATTCCTTTCTTAAACTTTGTGCCCAACCCAAATGGCGCACTTAAAAAAATAAAAAAAATGAGGAAGTATTTGATATTCTGTTACCTGCCTATGTTTCTTTTTAGTTGACACTACTTTCGTTACACTTGCTAATGTATACCTTATTAATATCTATAATTATCAAAAAATAAAAAAATTATAAAGGTGGTTTTATGAATTTATGTATCAAGATGAATATAACAAGATCCTAAGTGATTATGTCGTCTTTTTGTATAACTCACAAATGACAGTCAAAAGGGAGGGTGAACAATGCATAAGTCAAAATGTGTCGATTAGAAAGAAATGGAGGAAGACTTTATCAATTATCATTGTTTTAAAATATATTGTGTCAATTTTGGCAATTGGCAGTTAGAGGCTAGACTATAGCAGTTTATAAGAAAGCTACAAAAGGGGTACAGTGCTTCCTAATTTGCAAAATTAGGCCATATATGTACCACTTTCACTTATATTTTGCCTTATGTTCATGAGCGATTATTGATTTAACTAAATGTGGGTTGATCAATGATTTTGACATTTTATCTCTAGCCTAATACAAATACTAATGCGCATTATACGGTTATTGCTGAAAAGGGCCTATTTGGTGACTTTATTATACTGTCATTTGTGGCTAAACCTAATTTCTTCATTTAATATGGAATTCATATTGAGTAATTTTTTGTTTTTCGTCTTTTTTTTGGTGATTGTGTATTTACTATTAACAATGGGCGGGGCAAAAAATGACCGGATAACTTGTGCAACTCACTTCATAATCCTATTCATAACTTAATGTCCATTTAGGGACAAAATCATATCTTTAGTTTTGCCTTTGTGTTGCTTTGCTCTATGTAATCTTAAAGCTCCTGATTGATGGGTGCAGATGTCAAAACAAGAGAAACAGCATCACGAAGAGATGAAAATGGAACTTCAGGGTATTAGCCCTGCAACTGGTACTATTCAGAATGTTCAGGCTCCAGATCAAGATCAAGATCAAGATCAAGATCAAGATCAAGATCAGGCGGATAACGATCAGATGTCTGAGGAGCCTGACATGTCAGAATTGACAATGTCTCGACGTAAAAGAGGGCTTTATGAATCGATACGTATCAGTAAGCAACGAAGGAAGGCTAAGGTTGACCATCTTGAGTATAGAAAACGAAGTATTGCTAAAAACCAGAAGTGAGGAAAAGATTGAAGCAGCTCCAACATGCATTGTTACTGAAGCTTTGCATTTTTGGTTCTGGAAATTAAGTAAATCTGTGAGGAAAATGTAGTATAATTTGTGGTTTAACAGAGGGATGCATTCTATGTTATTGTCCTGAAATTTTGGTAGCAGTTTTGCCTGAGACACAAATCATTTCTTAATTTTCTTCTAGTAGCTGTTTATTTCACCTTTTTATTGCAAGGGTTGTTTCCAGATCTCTTAGCGTATGCTCCATATTAGCGATGTTAATAGAATAAGTCGAATATAGATGTTGGTCCCTTGGTAGCCTACCTACTTTGTCCACTGAAAACCCATCTAACATGTCAAACCATGATTTTTTATTTATTTTTGTTATTATTTTTTAATATTATTTATTTAAAAAAAAAAATATTTTGCAGAGCAATACCATAGGTAAATCACTATAACTGCTTTTACCTAGCAAGCAAAACTGCTACTCATGATGGTAATTTTACCTCTCATAATAGCAGATTTATCCAGTAAATTCGTTAAAATTAGTACAAGTTAAAACCACCACCACAATAAGCGGTTTTACTAAGTGTAACAGACTTGTAATTAATTTCATACCAGAAACCTCTAGGTTGAATGGGTATAGAATTTGTTAGTTGATATGACCTAGAAAAAGAAATTCATAAAACTTATTCCACAAAACTAATGGATATCAAGACAGTTGCAAATAAACGCTTTAAAGCTTGTGGCATGTGGGTTTCAGAGAGTCCATATCAGCGCATAACAGCTTGGGCATAGCAAATGTATAGGAGGGCAGAAGCATCATTTACCAAGCATTAACAACAAAAGTGGAAGGTTGACTGTGTTGTATCCCGTTATTTTTCAAAAACCAATTACATTTCCTTTAAAGCTTATTATCTCTCCTCCGTTTCTAGTTTTCTCTCCACTCTCTCTCCTCCCTGAAGGTCCTGTACTCAGTTCCAACGAAGACGCTGCAATGGTGGTTGTCGCCGGAGAAAGAGCAGAAGTTTACTGCGGTGTAGTTGGTGTGTAAATTGTAGGTAGCTGCTACTAACTTCGTCGTTTGATTGAAGGTATGGGCGCAAAACACTTCTCTAATTATGATTTTCTGTGTAAATGTTGTAGTTGTGACTTTTGTTTGTTGTTATGAAGTTTTAGTTTATGTAATTTAGGGTTTTCCAGTGAATGTAGCGATTTAGGGTTACCTGTGTTGTTCATTTGTTTAATTGGTAAAAATTGTTAGTGGGCGTCGTCCTAAAACCCTTAATTGGTTGAATTTGTTGTTATGATGTTTTAGTTTATGTGATTTACGGTTATCCAGTGAAAATAACGAAGTAGGGTTTCCTTTGTTGTGCATTTTTATTGTTGGAATTAATTTGAGGATGTGAAACCCGTAATTGGAATGAAATGAATTTGTTGTTAAGATGATTTAGATTATGTAATGCTTTGTTTACCACTGAAGATTTGCGACCCGTTGTTGTTTAACTGTAATGACCAAGCGAAATTGTTTTGGGTGTGGTGGTAGGATTGTTGAATTAAAGTATTTAATTTAATTTGAATCCATGTAAATGAGTGATTAATTTTGAGTTTTTTTTTTTTTTTTTTTTTTTTTTTTTTTTTTTGTGGTGGAAGACGTATTGAATTATGAACAAGTGATATTGTTACATTAAGAAATTATGACTGTTGTGGTGTGTATATGTGAATATAGTGGAGAAATTACATGTGAAGAGTTAAGGATTTGTTGAAATGGTTTTATGTAGTTGGGAAATCCCATTTATCGAGCGTTCATTTGAACTTGGCAGGAGGAAATAATGCTGCCGATGAAGAGCAAGGGATCAGGAATGGTGAGTTATTGTTTGTTGAAATTAAAAGATTGTATGTTTGCTGGATTTGCTTAGTGGTGGTTGTGTGTTGTAGTTGATTTTTGGTGGCAAATATTTGTGCTTGTGTAGGTGCGGTCGAAAGCCGTGAATGAAGAGGTGTCTAAAAAGAAAGCAACTAGTAAAGGGAAGAAGAAACTGAAATCTAATCCAGTTTTTGAGGTAGAGTATTTAAAGGGCTTTGATGAAGCTGGTTCTGATGATCGTGGTTATATTGAATCTAGTAGTGATGAAGCTGATTCTGATGATGCTGTTTCCACATCTGGTGATTATGCGGAAGATGAGGATGCGGAGGACGATGGTCAAGGTAGTGAGGAAGAACTAGAACAGGACAAAGTGAGCTACCAGGATCTCCTGATCAAGTTATTGCGGGAAAAGGTTGAGAAAGGGAAGCGCAAGCGAGGTCATATTGAGAAAAGGACAGGAAAAAGGGGCAAGCTAAAGGTATGTCATGTTAGATGGAAATAATAAAAGCTAATTTGTTGTGTAATACTTGGATGGAGAAATGAAATGTGTAATGTCATGTGTAGGTCGAGAAGACGAAGGGAGAAGTGGCGAAGGAGAAAGGGGTTGTCGTTAAAACCCAATCAAGAAGTACGCAGAAGGTACTCTGTGAACATTATTTGTTGAAATCCATGACATGGAAATGTCTGTTGGGAGTTCTGTGGTTGGTCCTTTGTTTTGTTTAGGTAGTTGGGTAAATAAACTCAATTATTACAGATTAATTGTAAATTGTAGTTTAGCTGTAAGTTAAGTATGAATATTGTGAGTCCTTAATTGGATGTGCAAGATTAAATTCCTTTATACAATATTCACAAGTAATTTGAATGGGATTGTATAATTAGTTTCTATTTAGGTGATTTAAATGGAAGGACAGTTGTTGTAATTTAGTTGGAAATGTAAAAAATTAAGGTAACCTAGAAAAGAATTAGTTGGAAATGAAGAATTTGAGTAACCTAGAAGGAATTTAATCGGTTAGTGGTGTTATTTTGTGAGGCTTGGGCCGGTGTCATTTGATTGAAGTTTGTGTTGTTTGAATGTAATGTTGTAGGCCCCAAATTTGCATGGTGTGAAGGCTTTTGCAACTGCAGTGAAGAAGTTTGATGACTCTAGGAAGAAGCTGGTCACATAAATGGGTTTTGGAGGGTTGTTAAGTATACCCCCGACTCTTGTACCCCGGAAGTTTGTGTACTAGTTGTTGACAAGGGTGATGGGTGATGGTTCCATAACTTTTGGAGATGAGTGTGTGCTTCCTTCGAGTCCTGTGCAAGTCGAGTATGTACTTGGGATTCCCATAGGGTCGAAGGAATTGCCGTGTACGATTCCTGAGACCATAGCAGAATTTTGGAGAAGTTTGGGAAAAATGAAAACATTTCATTAGTAGCTGCTTTGGGGGCACTGATTCGAAAGGATGAGGAAGGTAATGTGTTGCCGCTGTCGTATGACGAGAAGGCTGATTTCAAGATAGCCTTTCTCATAGCAGCTATGGGCTACTTATTGTGTGCTACGGCGAAATCAAGCTATCTTGGGGTGAAGCTTGTACCGTCGTTATTGGTTTACGATGAAGCGGATGAGTATGACTGGTGCAGTTATGTATTTAGCTGGATGGTTGTTGCAGCCAGGAGTTTCTAAAAGATATTTGCTCATGATGGATATGTTGCAAGTTGTGGGGGTTGTATCCTTTTTTTGTTGGTGAGTAAAATTGGGTATTTGCCACCGTACACCAAAAGCTTTTTGAGTAATTTTATTAAATTTTGCAGTCTTCTCGTTTGTAATGGTTAATTGAACTAAATCATCCATCCTGTCCTTTTTTTGTAGTTTTTTTTTATCTATATCACCTAAGCCGTGTCCCTATGAGGTGGGATGTGAGACCGAGACTGGAGGTATGGCCCGAAGAAAAGATCAATGAGGCGGTTGGCGATGACAAAAAAGAATCTGGGAATTTCGGAAAATTGCCGGTTAGTATTAGTTTGACTTTCATTTGATGTGAATACATCCCTGCTGAAGCTGCTGTGTTTGATTCTTTTTCAGTCTCTAGATGTAGCATATGGGGAGCCGCATCCGTTGACTCTTCTGGAGGTTCAAAAGCAAAGGGTGGAAAGCGTAGATGTGCAACAGACTATGCAGGAGGTAGATGTGGAAAATATTATGCAGCAGGTATAATGCAAGTCAATGATAGTGTTAGATGTAGCTCTGTAATTTATAAAATAAGTGACATGTCCTATGGCAGTTGTTAATAGTTTTTATTTATGCTTTCCTGAAGGTGTTGGATAGAATTACTTCGAAGTTGGTGGCTGTGATGGATTTGAAATTAGCTGGCGTTATGAAATCAATGCATAAGCTGATGTCATAGTGTGTTGACGTAGCTAACGCCCGGAGAGTGAGTAGGGGGAACCCAACTGAGAGGGGTAAGCCAACAGAGAAGGAAGTTGTTGTGCATGAAGATGCGACTTTAGGAAATTGTTTGTTGGAGAAGGAAAAACTAGAAGAAGGTGCGAACGTAGTTGGTGGGAAAGAGCCTCATGCTGATGTAGTTTTAGGTGAAGATGACCTGGACCGTGTGGTTCAAAAGATTTCGGATGATCCACTGTTTGCAGAGGCTGGGGGTGTGGTGAAGGTGGTTGGGGCTGATGAAGGTGTTTTGTCATATTTCCAAGCCTGGTTTTCTGATCATGAAGTGGATGATGAGAACATTGTGTCTGGACCTAAAATAGTTGTGGGCTTGCTTGGGACGAGGGGAACTAGTGAGTTGGTTGATGCTCGGTGCAGTTTAGCAAATTCATCTTCATCTGATGAGGAAGATGAGTCTGCTGGGAAGGGGTCGAAACTGGTGATAAGAGGGTGGTGAAACCTACCAAGGCAGCCTTGTCATCCATGTTCACCAATGTGTCCAACACCCGTCGCCATACAACGGTCAAGGCACGTCTGCAACAGTTTGTAAAGCGCTGGAAGGACCTGAAGGATCCACTTAGGTAATTCAGTAACGTGTAATTGAGTGAAAAGTCTTTTTTGTGCATGCTTTTTGTAAAATTTTGGTTTAAATTGCAAATTCTAATATGTTTATGTGTATACTTGGTGTTATGTTGTTGTTTCACTTCATAGCCATGGTATGGTGTTGATAAAGTGTGACCACATGGAAGCCAACCAGAGGGATTGCTATGAAGTGGTGCACCATAAATCGCGGGTTTCCAGTGATTACGTTAGAATGACCAGTGTGCGATACACCAAGCAATGGGCCACCAAAGACTTTTGGAACAGAAGCAAGCGTATTTTGCTTGACCTAAGCTTTTCGGTAAGTGGTTCGTGGTTAATTTCATCTCTGGGGTGTCATATTTACGTGCACAATTGATGATCATGCTTGTTGTGTTTTTTTGTCTGCATCATAGAATCGACTGTTGTTGAACGAAGAAAAAGAAGAACATATTTGTACCAAGTATGCCAAATTTCTCCTGAGCTTTAAACTGTCGCAGATTCGAGCGGTCAGCTACTTACTCTCATAATTCAATATTGTAGGTTTAAATGTGTTTCATGCATATACTCTAAATTGTGCTTATGGCATTGACATTGTCATTTTACCAGGTTTTTGTCCCAGTGCTCGAAGTTCCTGAGGATTACCCTGACGAGTCGCACTGGTGGTGCTTAGCATTAGACATGAAGGCTCAACAGTTGTGGATGATAGATTCTATGTACCCTGACCCGTTCACCACACATGCCAAAGAGTTTGATCTTTTGGTACTAATACTAATGCCTTTCATTCTAAACAAACATGGTATTTACTGGGACCATTTAGTTATGTGTAATGTGTTTGTGAAAGTACAGATTAGTGGTATCGACGTCCTTTTCCGACTCTGTGACCCAGCATGGAAGGCTGGTTAGCTACATTCTTGGACGAGATGCACTGTTGAGATCTTAGAGCCAAAAGTAAGCATTTGTTTCCTTATTTTCTTACTGTGCCAATAACTTTCAGCCTAGCTTTAAGGTCAAAAGAACGTATGTTCAACTTTTATGTTGATTGTGGTCCTCCAATGTGCAACTCATACTATGGTGTTCTAATGCTGGCATGTATTAAGTTCTTTGCCAGAAGATTCACCACGAGGTTCAGTGTGGTAAGTGGTGTATATATTTGTGTTTTGTGTTAAGATGTCTGGAGTGGTTGGCTACAGTGTTTGTTCATACATTTACAGGGGAAGATACCTAGTGCTCGGGCAAATTTGTTCTTGGACAACGTGTAGTGTGAAGTGAATGAATTGAAAGATGGTCTAGGGGATTTGATTCCAGGTTCTAGGAAAACAACGCGAAAACTGTGATGTGTTATGTCGGTGGCCTGGGCAATGGTGTAATTATTTTCCGAGGTTGAAGTGTGGTGTCTCTGATTACTTTGTATTGAGCATTTAAACAGTTGCTGGCAAACGTACTCCTCCCTGCGGTGGTCTGTCCACTCAGGGGTAACTATTAGGTTGCTTTGGCCGTGGAGGTGGTCTGTCCACTCATGGCTAAGTGTTTGATGTGATGTCCTGATGTCTGCATTTGATGTTTTGTTGGGATAACTATTGGCGTGACTCGTTATAATAGCATTTTGCGAGTACATTATACAGCTACTGTACGCTAATTACTTTTTGCAATGTACATGAACAGGCTAATTTAAAATCAACATACAGTGCCATACATTGTAAGTGGCACTGGTGGAATGTAATTGATATTGTTACAATTTAGCTCACAATAGTATAGTATAAGCCCATTTATCTTTGCAATGGTACATTAAATTGGTGTGGGTTGTACCATTTATTCGTTAATGTTTTCATGAATTAGGATGGAAGTGCAATTCAGTAAAAAAACACAACGACATTCAACATTACAATCCATAATTCATAGAATAATGCTAAGGATCGCAAATGGTAATCCAACTACAAAGAAAACATGGAAAGTAATCCAACAGTTCACCCTTCATTTAGATGACAAGTTTTGGACTGATTGCCCCTTATGAAAGGGTCAGTAATCTCCTACCACTGGTTTACTAGTGGTACAATTAAAAGTACTAAACGTACCACTTTGATTGCAGTTGTGCATATTCACTTCACGTACACAGCTTAGGTACGTCTCATGTGCACAAGATGCATATGAAAGGGTCATTATTCATGTACATAGCATAGGTACGTAGTATGTACACAACATAGGTACGTATCACTACGATTAAATGTACCAACTTCATTTCCTTTTCAGTGGTAAGTTTTCGAGAATTAAATGTACCACTATCACAGTAAAGTGGAATTCTGAAGGTTCCCCTTACTCGTAATAACTTCAGAGCTAATACAGGTATTAAACAATAAAAAATAAGGCATAATCGAACATAGTGAAGGCATAATCGAACATAGTGAAGGCATAATCGAACATAGTGAAGGCATAACCAAACATAGTCTTAGGCATACAGGAAAATAGTTTTAGGGAAAGGCAAATAAAACTACAGTACTAATTAAACAAAGACACAGAGCATTGAGGAGTATTTGATCCCTAACATCTTCATCATAGGTCTTTTCCAAATCCCCAGTGGTGGTTGGAGCCATCGAAAGCCAAACCAGAATTGAAGTAGTAACTACCTGGCTCTGCCTCCTTGTCCGAGCTAAATGGGTCATTGTTCAATTAAACTTGTTGCGGAGGCCACGATGGTGGTGGTGGAGCCTGTAATTGCAGGCAACATTTAGTTAGCTAAACAACTTACATTCCAAACATCCCAAACAATATTATAAAACAAACAAATTACCTGGAAAACATTCCAAACAACATCAACAACCATTTGGTTCACTCGATCTGTGCAAGAAATTAGCCCTTAGCATATTTGGTTTCCAAAATATCATAACTCCACCAGGCCTTGACTCCGGACCACATATCTCTGCTTGATATTCACCTGGGAGGCTATGAAAACCGCAATTGTTCACCTCATGTTTACCAATACGAGCTTCCAAAATGATGACCAAGATGGGGTTAAATTTTTCGTGTAGGGCCGCGAAGTGCTCTGCAAAGGAGGGCCTTGTGCACCCTCGGGCGTTCCAAAATAGAATGAGCAACTCCCAATCGACTACGCCATACTCTTCGGATGAGGAAATATGCTCTCC